AGAAATAATTATTACTGACTTATCAAATACAATTATTTCTGCTTGGGTTATAACGTGTTTAGTAGTACAGATGCGCCCCACGTTTTTCAAGTTTATCTATAAGCATTTATGTGGTGGTGTGTTTTTTGTGGGGAAGACCGTGAAAGGCTTGTTTTATTTTTTTTTAGAATTATTCTGTGGCATATTAATTACATATTTCTTTATAACAAAATCTTTAATCATAGTCTTTCTTATTAATATTATAACGTTATTTTCTCTACACATTTGAGTATATAAAGTAATCTGTTTTCTTTAACTGTAGATAAAATGTGTAAATTTTTACAAATATATATTAGAATTAATAAACTCAAAATCAATATTTATTATATGTTACTAATACACCGTCAGTTTGTGTGCACTTTTCATGATACATTGGACTGTTCAATGACCGTCTCTAATCAAAAATTCCTATTACAATCCACGCATTGGTCGATTCTTGCAGGTCACCTGCTATTTATAATTTTGAATAAGGCCACATAACTTACTGTATACAACTTAAGAAGTCTATTTATTCAATACTCATATTAATGTAGTTGTATTAAAAATGTAATCCACCATATTGTAACGGCCACTATGTTTCATTTCAAGTAGCAGCATATAACTTGTCGTAGTGCATCTGCCGTGACCTTTCATTTCATATCCACATTGATTGTATTGCAATAAAGAAAGTATTCTGCCATTTTGAAACATCTGCCATATTAAATTTTGAGTCAAGTAATATGTTTTAATTTATTCTACTCGCCAGACCCTTTTATTTCATTCCCTATACGAAACGAGATTTAAAAAAAAAGTTAATCTACTATTTTAGATTTTGAGTAACGTCATATAGCTTGTTGAATTCTACTCTCTATGCTTACTTATTTGATACCCATATCGATGGGGTTGTACATAATAAAAAAGCTGGTCTGCCATTTTTTATCAGCCACCATATTTGATTTTGAGGAACGTCATACAGCTGCTATTCATATAGCTTATTGTATTCTGCTCGCCATTCCCTTTCATTTGATATCCATATTAATAGATTTGTAATAAGTAACGTAGTCTGCCATTCCGTTATGGCCGCCATATTGGATTTAATATGGTATTGAATGTACTTTATTGCATTGTCATCGAAACCAAGAGTGTGTGCAGAATTTCACCCTGATCGAATGTCGGGAAGTGATCTAAAAATCGATTGCAAGATTCCGACCGGAACGACAGACACACGAACAAGAAAGTGACTTAATAAAAACTTGTTAAAAATAAATGAAACTACGGTCCTCCGATGTTAACAGACAGGATATGCGTGCGCATTTCTAACCTAAAAAAGGCAAAAAACTGGCCCTCTCTCGTACCCCCCCCCCCTAAAAGGTAGTGAACCTTGTTAAAGAGAAAGTCGACAAATTAACTCAGAAAATTCATGTATTCGCTACGTATAATAATATGAAACAGCACCACCTGCACGACAACATAAAGGCGACGATGGATAATTTTAAGAACTTGCTTTATAACATCAGAGATAATGTCAAAAATTTGTTTTAAACGAAAAACAATTATTTTCTTTTTTTTTACAAAATAATACTTGTCATGTGAGTTTCAAACTAATTCTTGACAACAAAAATGCTTACTTTTCGTATCAAAAAGTCTTTCAATTAAAAAAAAGTATCTCAAGTTTACAACCCTTCACATAATATGTGTTAGTGTTGCTGATTGAAGTGGCTCATGCGAGTTTGTATAAATATTTATAAAAAAGTTAATAAAATTTTGAATCATATTTTAAGTACGTCACTTCTAAATGCCATCAAATAACACCATGGTGAACGACCTTATTTTTAAGAAAATGGATGTTGAAAAATATGTTTGTTTTAACATTGGATCTAATGGGATTTTTCTTACAATTTCACTCGCTTCTATGTAATATTATTTTATACAAGGTTGATATGTATAGTGTTTTGTTCAAGCAATATATTCCCAGCATAAAAACAGTAGGTCAACGGTATAAGTTTAAATAAAACTCTACCATAACCCGAAAATTGGCCTTTTAGCATCTTTGGCGTGTGACTACTTATGCTTTTTTTTTGTTTTTTTAATTTTCTTACGTACTTATGCTTTTTACTAAACAACATGAGTTTATTATTGTTTCAAGGATGTTTATTTATTGGATTAAAATAGGCTACATGGACAAAACCGTGAAAAATCAGTACCATCTCAACCTACATTCCATGCTTTCTAACCCAGTTACTGGGAAAAGAGCGAGTTGATCATGAGTTAATTATATTAGTTACTTATGAAATAAGTAAAAAACTTAAATTCTAAGCTTTCGAACCCAAAATCCGAAGGGGTTGCGAGATGATCATACATAATATTAATCAATTAATAATTAAATAAGAAACAAACCTAAATCCTAAGCTTCTTAGCGCAAAAGATTGGGGGACAGCGACTTTACCACATATAATGTTATCAAATTATTGATTGAATATGTGACTAACCTAAATCTTAAGCTTATTAATCCAAAAGTCGGGGAAACATTAATAAATTATTTATTAAATCAANGTTGCTCGGGATGCTCTGGACTCCCTAATCGAACAAACCTAATACTTCAAAATTCTTTCACCATGCCGCACTTCACCGAGCAAGCAGACGATAATAAGTTTTGTTAATGGCCGTTCGGACTGCGCTACTAACACAAAAGTAGCCTCACTGGAGCCACAAACCCCCCCAAGAAGAAGAAGAAGAAGTCATGGATCCTCTATGTTCTTATTGATAGGCAGCCATAAAATTGTCATAATTATTTCTCATTTGGATGATAATCGTTTAAATCAAGTTTGTTAAGTAGTCCTGAGCAACATCTGACAGTTCTTACTAATAAATGTATTTTGGTATCAACTTGTTATTTTAAGATTTTTATCTGAATTTAATTAGATAATTTTCGGTTTAAATACAATAATTCTATTTATTTAATTTTTTTTAATTTTTCTCTGAGCAAAAATTAAGTTAGAAAACAATTTGATAACAATTAGAGTCAATGCGTGATGGACATAAGCTGGCAATTTAGAGTATGTGTCGATTTAAGGACTTCATACCAATATAATGTATTTCAACTACATAAGGAGAACAGTTCTCATCATTTGGAAAAAAAATCAAGTTGTCTAATTACGAGAATTAAAATGATATCACTCCATATTTTTAAACTGTACAGTGTACTTATACATAAGCGTTCAGCATATACCGAATTGAATCAATACAATGTAAAGAGTAAGCGTCATTGTGAAAATGACTGTGTCACTAAGAGTATTATTAACACCAATTTTCACATTCTAATGGAATTAAAAAATGAAACCATCAAAAACAATTCAAATCAACAAAACAGGGAGCACCTGATAGTTATGATTACTATAATAGAAATTCATCTAAAAAACGTTTGCAGGATCTTGGCAGAGTTGCAAAACGTGCGTTTTATGGTACCTGCAGAATTGACATTCACTAAGACTAAGTTATCATGTAAAAAAAATTCAAACTCACTGAAATACAATGTAGTGAATTCACGCATCCATGAGCAACATCAAGTAGCTTCTCAAAAATTCAACAACAATGTCGAAAAATCTGTTAAAGACACCCACAAATATCTATCTTCCGAAGATATACAAATTTATGAGATAGAAAATGAACATATTTTTTCTGAATTAAATATTTTCAATGATGAAATTGATCAAATTGAAAATAGAGTCGTACGTATCCATGAGCTACAAGAAATATTCATGGAAAAAGTCATTACACAAGATAAAAACTTAGAAAATTTACTGCTCAATGTAGTAGGGTCAACCCAGAATGTAAGAGAAGCTAATGAACAAATACGTAAAGCTATTCAAAGTAATGCGGGTCTAAGAGTATGGGTCCTTTTTTTTCTTCTTGTTATGTCTTTTACACTTATTTTCCTTGATTGGTATAATCACTGACAATAAAAAACGTCCATGTGTGATCATTTTTTTTAGTTTTTGTGTAGTAAATGCACTAATTTCTTACAAAATTGTATAAATTATGTAAAGTATTGCAAAATAAAACTATGGAAAACCATACTTGCGTAATATTTTTTGTTAAACTTATATTATAACCGAAATCAGAACATGAAAACGGTCAGGTTTTTGATTTTTTTTTATACAAGCATACTTTTTGTATAACGCTCTTTTGGTATATTATTATCCAATACTCTTACTGTAACAAATTTGAACTATATACTACTTGTTTTTAATTGGTACCGACCAATCTGAATAAAGGAAGACGAAAGTTTGAGAAAGCAGACGAAGCCTCAGCAACCGCGCTACTATTTACTTCAGATTGGCATACTCGAATTTTCAAATACTGAAAAATAAGTATTTTTGCCGATGTGCCTGATGTATTTTGGTTTAATTAAGTCTCTTTAATCCTAGTCCACAGCTTTACCAAAAAATATAGGTCAAAAAGTCGTTAGAACAACGAAAACGAGACATGTGTATCTCGAAATGGTCAAAACAGGATTTTTTCAGGCTCAGTCTCCAAGAATTTTTCCTGTGTATAGTTGGAATAGGCGTGTTCTTAAAATCAAGCAAAGCTGCCAACAGTGTGATATTAGCTAGAGGTACTTCCTAATTTCACATATTCACAGTAGATGATAGCATGCAGTGTTGGGAGTTCTCAGTGGCTAAGGTGGTAGAGCGCTTGCTTTCCGCCTGGAGAGCTTGGAATCAAAACTCTGTTCCGTCACTTCTTCCCGGGTAACTAGGTTGTCTCATAGTAAAATCATCCCCTAAATGCTCAATAATACAAATAATGAGATGTATGTGGCAAATCGAGGTCTAATGTATAATATGTGCGCACTTGTAAGCGTGTAAAATGTACCCAGCCATTCAAACAACGACTGACATAACTAGGTGTTGTTAAGGTAGGACACATACCGTGGGATAATTTAAAAACGAATAAAAATGTAAATATCAAGAATACTTCAACACCCTATTTATTCTAACCCTGAATTTCGTGTGCCTTAAATGCGAACACATTAGGAGTAAGGGTACTATTTTTCCAGACACTCTCAGAAGAGGGCGCGTGGTGGTCCCGCGTACTTTAAATATTATTACCGACGCTGCTTGGCCGGTAACAATTTTTTTTTTTTTGGAGGGAGGAAAAATAAGGGTTAGTATAAGGAGCGGGGGTCAGGGATGTTAATAGACTGGACCGATGGACTGGACAGAACGAATGGACGGCCACTAACGTATGAAATGGACGTGATGCTAGCTTCTAGGCTGATCATAATATGATAAAATAATTAAATGATTAATTACATTTTTTGAATTCTAAAATATTTGTGTCTACTGTAATTATAGTGCCATTTACGTTTTTGTGAAAGGTATTACAATTAAATTGTTTTCTCTCAAAGAAACATAATGTTTGAAGTGCATGTTGTTTTACTGTGATATATGTGTCAAATTTAATTGTTTGTTTGCTCACTGTTATTCCAGGATAAAAGTATTTAAAACACAAGCGACAATTTTCAAATAGAGCCAGTTATTTGAACAAATGTAGTCTTTTGTCTCATAATGTTTTTGTTGATTATACTTGCTTGTATGTCTTAATCCAAATAAGATATATTTAAGTAAGGTTATAATTTTTTTGTTATTGTTATTCATATTTTCGTGGCTTTTTCTCAATTATAGTGGATTATTTATAGAATTTATAAATTAGAAGGATTCAAATAATGTAGTTCAGTGAATATATGAGTATTTTGTCATCAGTGAGTAATCTCTCAGTCAGTCATACATAGTCATCTCAAAGGAAGATATGATTGTCCACTAAACCTTCCTTTTTTTATAGCAGATATCCTAGTTAAGAGTTGTTTAATGGTCTAAATACTCTGCTGATCATGATTGATAAAACCTGCAATGACTGGAAGCTTGGCTTTATTCCACTACGAGATAAGTCACATAATGTTATAGCTGCTAGATGCAAAGTCTGCGAGAAGGTTCTTCAACAGCTTAGCATAGATAAGCTGAACGAACATAGGTTTGATTTTTCTAATTATCTCATTTTTCAACATTTGTCAGTGCTTAAAAGGAATAAAATTTTTCAGATCTCGGTGTAAGAGAATTGTTAAAACTGACAACATGCACTTGAGTGAAATTGGGGAGGCTGTAGGTATTGGTCAATCTACTACTAATAGTCTGGTGAGACCATTCATTTCTGTTTATCTTAAAGTTGTACTGATAATTTATATAGAAATTTTCATACTATTTTTAATCTATTGCTATAAATGACTATCTCACTTTTTTTTTTGGATGATTTGACTCTTACTGTTCTCTATCGACTACAGCTATTACATTTTATAAATATGACTAGTTCGCGGTTTTTGATTGTTTATGTAATGACAGTTATTACTTCGCTGATACATATGTCATTATTTCGATGGTTGGTTGCAGTTTTAATAACAGTGGTTTTTTAATTAATAGCTCACTAATACTATTTTGCAGTACTGTAGTTATACTTTTCTACATATTGAGATTAAAAAAATTTTATTTTCAACAGAACATGGTTCATTCTATTGGATGAAAATCGATGTTTGGCTTCATTTTTAGACAATCAATTAAGTATTCTGGTTTTTGCACAAATTGTTGTGGGTGGGGACTGTGGGGAGTAGTTAAACTTCAAACCCAAAATTTTATCCAATAAAAAAAATCCATATGGATCGATATGGATTTTGTTCCAAAACGTTACATCCATGTAAAATTATATCTATATATATGACATACATAGATATAATTTTACATGGATGTGGCGTTTTGGAACAAAATCCATATCGATCCATATGGATTTTTTTTATTATTACATAGTACGATCAAATTTGAGAACATATGAGATGATTGTGTTTACAGCGTGTAGAACACATTCTATTACTCGCCAACTTTTCATACGCTTTTGTTTAACTCATACCCTCTGGCGGTCTGTCCAGCTGTTTACTTGAAATGTATAAAGTTTTGCAACTTTTTTTCACTGACTTTTCGAATAGCTACAATTTTATTTTCCTGTAGGAGTTTGTAGCTTTGAACAAATTGTGGTGCATTGCAAATAATAAATGTAAGATGATTGCAACCTGACTCCGACGTCAAATAAGCGAGCATTGAATAATTTTTTAAGGGATTAAGCTAGCTCCATTGCGAAAATCTGAGACATCCCTTCTTTCGAAAATCAGGTGATTAATCAGGTGATTTCTCATGCCAAAATCTCATCTGTCATGATTTTTATTTTTTAATGCATTTTTCACTAATGGTTTTATGCGTCTTTTCAAAAATTTTAACTTTAATTTTTTTTCCAAAAATTTGGACATTTTTTGGGAAAAATTAAAAAAAAAGTCGAAGTTAAAGAAAAATGTCTTATATTGACTGAAGATGGTACAAAAAAAAATTTAAATAAGAAAAAAGTCACATAATACTTTGGCATGAGTCATCCCCTGATTGTTCACCTGATTTCCGAAAGGAGGGATGACATAAATATAATTTGTTATATTTTGATCCGCTGAATATAATGGCAGCTTTGTGTTTACTCCCAATCGGACAAAATCTCGAGACCTTATAGCTCAAAGTTGTACCTCTTAACATGGGCTCTTATGAAAAAGCAAAAAATAATAGCTAAAAGAAGGTGTTTACCGTTCCAAATTTTGCGCAAATTTTAGAAAAAAAATGTTTATAGATCTGATTTTTTAAAATTTATATTAGCCGTAACAGATGGTATCATGTGGATAATAACTTAATAAATGGGAGATTTAACAATTTTATGTGAAAAACCAAATTCTTCTTAAATTTTTTTTTGTTTCAAAGTACATCAAGCCCTTAATTTTGGTGATATCATATGGATGATAACACCATTACCAGCTGTCATATCTACAAAAAAATCAGATTTAGAAACAATTTTTCTTTGACATTTGCGCAAAATTTTTAGCTACAAACACCTACATTTTACAACTATTAGTTACATACATACATTTATAGCTGCACTGTAGTTGATTATAGCTATAGATGTAGGTCAAAATAGTATAATGAAAGCTACAATTAATACCTGAATTTTTAGGTAACAATTTTTTAATGAGATCTAGAGCTTTTTATTAATATTTTTTATTAATGTTCTCATTTTATTTAGCAGGAGAAAATATGATTGTTAATTAATTTTGACTTTGAGAGTTATAAATTGGAG